AATGAAGGACAGGAAAAGGCAAGCTGAGTTAGCAGACGGTAACTAGTTAGGTTAGCCAGGAGGACATGATGTAGGGAGCTTTAAAAAAAATTGTCCTACTACCACCTCACACCTTCTCCTACCTCCCAGAGATGCCGATTTATTAGGTTTGGGATGGGCCCTGCCTCAGAACCTTTACAAACTTCCAGGTCAATTTATTAATGACAGCCATTCTGACAGGTATGGGGTGATATCTCATTGTGGTGTTAGTTTGCATTCTCTGATAAGAGTGACCTTGAGCATGTTTTCATATGTCTATTGGCCATCTGTATGTCCTCTTTGGAGAAGTGTCGATTCAGGTCCTTTGCCCATTTTTTAACTGGGTTGTTTGGGGTTTTTTGGTGTTGAATTGTATGAGTTCTTTATAAATATTGGATATTATCCTCTTATCAGATGTATCCTTGGCAAATCTGCTCTCCTACTCAGTGGTTATCTTTTCATGTTGTTGATGGTTTCTTTTGCTGTGCAAAAAAGTTTTTAGTTTGATGTAGTGACATTTGTTTATTTTTTTCTTTTCTTTCCCTTGCTTGAGGTGATATATCAGAAAAAAATACTGCTATGAGAAATGTCCGAGATTTTATTGCCTATGTTTTCTTCTAGGATAAATCAACAAACAACAAGTGTTGGTGAGGATGTGGGGAAAAGGGAACCCTTGTGCACTGTTGGTGGGAATGCAGATTGGTGCAGCCACTATAGAAAACAGTATGGAGGTTCCTCAAAAAATACAAAATGGAACTGCATTATACTCAACAATTCCACCTCTGTGTATATATCCAAAGAAACCCAAAATACTAATTTGAAAGAATATATGCACCCATGTGTTCATTGCAGCATTATTTACAACTAGAGGCTCAGTGCATGAAATTTATGCAGGAGTAGGCCTTCCTTCCCCGGGCTTCCGGCACCGGCTTCCCTCTGGCACCCGGGACCCAGGCTTCCCCAGCCCCAGCTTCATCTGGAAGGTCATCCAGAAGGACATCCGGAAGGATGCCTGGTCTAATTAGCATATAATGCTTTTATTATTATAGATAGCCAAGATATGGAAGCAGCCCAAGTGTCTGTCAATAGACAAGTGGATAAAAAAGTGGTGGTACATATATGCAATGAAACATTACTTGGCCATAAAAGAATAAAATCATACCATTTTGACAGCATGGATAGACCTAGAGCAGTGGTTCGCAACCTTCTGGCCCTTTAAATACAGTTCCTCATGTTGTGACCCAACCATAAAATTATTTTCGTTGCTACTTCATAACTGTAATGTTGCTACTGATATGAATCGGAATGTAAATATCTGATATGCAGGATGGTCTTAGGCGACCCCTGTGAAAGGGTCGTTCAACCGCCAAAGGGGTCGCGACCCACAGGTTGAGAACCGCTGATAGGCAGATTTATGAATGGAGAGGTATTCAGTAAGACGAGGGTCACGTAGGGCCTTAGATTTCACTCAGAATAAAATAAATGAATAAACAAAATAGAAAAAGACTCATAAGTACAGAGAACAGATTAATGGTTGCCAGAGGGATGAGGGGTTAGGAATCAGGTGAAAAAGGTGAAGGGATTAAGAAGTACTGAGAGTCACAAAATAGTCCTGGGAATATAAAGTACAGCATAGTGAAGAGAGTTGGTAATATTGTATCAACTATGTATGTGTCAGGTGGGAGATCCCTGCGCAGAGTATGTGATTGTCTAACCACTGTGCTGTGCACTTGAAACTAATACAAAGTAGTATTGAATGTAAACTGTAATTTAAAAATAAAATTTTAAATAATGATAACATCCCTGCCCTTCTGTGGGACAATGCTGCCTTTGACTGGCTGTCATGTTGGTAAGCTCCCAGGTGTGCATTATCAGAAGAAAGGGTGAGTGGGAATCCATGCCTTATGTCCAGTGCGATGTAGACATTGTGGGCTACGAAGTTAGTCATGGACCCAAGCCTAACTAGTCCCTCTAATAAATACTCACAGTGAAACTCACACTGTAATAATGAAGCTTTCTTGAAGACAGTGGGACAATGATTTCCTGCAATTAAAAATGTTCCTTTATTTAAATTAATGGCATCTAAAATCACTAGAATTAAAAGCTATGCCCTGATTATGAATGGCTTTAACCCAGAAGAGGCAGACCAAGTGTGCTGCCTTTTGGGGGACATATGACAGTGATTCTTGCCCAGTTTCTAAGAATGATCCTGAGAGGCAGTAAAAGTAACAAGGTTTGCAGGGCAACTGGGCAGCCGTCCAGCTTCTTATCGTTCTGAATAGTTCCATGTTTCAGATGACTATGTCTGAAAAAACAGGATCTAGAAAATTTAAAGCCGGTGACTTTGGACTAAATCTCAGGGGAGAGCTGAGCAAATGCCAAATGCCTAATTAGAAGGCGACAATAAAAAGGTCGATTTCTTCCATTCTTTGTTTCTTTAAAAAAAAATAATAACTTGAATCTCAAAGCTAAAATTTCGAAGCACTGCCCAGCTGGTCATCGGAGGTGGCACAATGTAGGTGCCACAGTTGCCTAATGGACGTTGGGTATTGGAAAGGCTGGTGCAGTTTTTGAGATTCAGAACAAATTTCCAAATGATATTAGCAGGACCAAAATGTTGCATTCCTGAAGTTTTAACATGTGGTGGATGACTTATACTGGAATATTCTTTTTGTCCTTCATATTTGATTTGTTAGACTATTTAGAAGATTTTTCTTTAAGCACACCAAATCATGACTAAAATTCCTATTTAAATAGACATTTATAAATTTGGTTTAACATTATATTAAAATAGCATTTGCTTCATAAAGAAGGCTGAAATCTCATTAAATAGCTAGATAAAGTTAGAAGTATAGAAATATACAAGATCAGTATCAGTTTGGTGAAATTACATAGTGTTTCATTGCACAGGGAACCCTCTTCTACACAATTTACTTTCATAACCTAACTCATTTTTTTGAAGATTTAGGAATAGGAATCTTTCTCCCAGTCCTGATTTTTAGATGTGCTTTTAAATTAAAATGAACAAACCAATAGGACCACAGAGGAGTCAGATGAAACAGAACCTCCTACGGCAACGAGGAATTGGTTCCCTTACTGAGGTCTCCTCTCTGTCCAATGCAAGAGCAAGTCAGTCTCCCACCTGCTGCCAGTCTCCACCTCACCCAGGGTTTTCCAGGGGATCCTTGGATTTGTGATGCCCTTTGAAACAGCAAACTTGAGCTCATCATCAAGTCCATGAAGATTAGGGGAGATTTAAGAGTCCTCTCCAGGGATTAATTGCTACTTTAAAACAATGCTGGATTTGAAAAGGAATTCTCCCAGGCACCAGTGGATTAATCTTGCCATTTCTCTACTGAGATAAATGAAAGAAGAAACAATGCCAAGAAACACTATTCTGTCAAAGGATCCTCCAAAAACTAAACAGTCCAGAGTGCAAAAGCCAAGATTTATAAGCAGCAGGAAGTATGTGAGGCCCTTCAGAATAAAATAAATTCCCCTGCGTATTTTGGCCGTGTTCTTCTATTCTTTTCAGAATCAAGACAGATTGTTCACATGCAAGAAAAAATTTCCTTGTGGGTTTATCTTAGAAGATTCACACTACAGCCTGCTCCTCCCAGGCTACCTGGTAGGCTGAAATATGCTAAGAAAATACAAGTTAATATCTAAATTAGGCCAAAGCCAATTTAACTGAGAGGATATCAGCCTCATAATAATGACAGTATTTTCAAAGTCCCAAATAAGTAATGTTTAGAATACCCATCCCTCTTATTATCATTAAATAATATGATTAATAATAGATGGGCACAGGTACTTAAACAAATCTCAAATGGGAGAGAGGTACCATGAGTCTGTCTTTGAGAATTGGGTGTAACCAGGACAGAAACTTGATTTTAGAATTGGTCTTTGTAATAGCTTTGAGTCCCTTCTTCACCAAATGCATGAACTTAACTGTAACCTAACATCCATCCTTCTGTTGGTCAATGTAGGTTTTCCCTGTCCTCTGGGAAAAGAGCATCTGACCCTGGAGGCGGAAGTTCTTTCTCTAAGAAGCTTTGTAATTTATGCATGCTTGTCTGCCACAAATGGCACAAAAAGGACTGTTTCTTTGAGTGGGTTGGCCTCAACTCATACCATACAACTTTACTTTCTATTATCCTAAGAGGACCCTAGGTTTGAAATTTTAAAAACTGCTCTACTGCCTCTCAAATTGGAAAAGAGAAAAATGAGGAGCAAGTAGCATTTTATTAAGAAACCCAAAGGAGCAGACACTGGTTGGGGGACAGTGTGAGATGTTATCTGATAAGCATCATTCTCCAAGGAGTGAAATCTGACATGTTCCCTGATTCAGTAGTTACTCCTGAAACCCTTCTCCTTAAAAACCATAGCTCAAAGTTACCATACATGTTACTCAGTGTTTTGTTTTGATTTTACCTTTAAAAAATTCTCATACTTTTCCAAATGCATATATATTTTCTCTGGAGAACTTTAAAATAACTTGACCAAAGCACGCTTCATTTACATAACTTTTCCCTGAAGAGCACAGGTACACAGATCGAAAAGCTTCCCTTAAAGGTGAAATTAATTGTTTTTCTCCTAAAACTACCAGGTGTTACTACTTCTCTAAATATTTTGCAATAACCTAGGTACCTAGACCAATGGACCATAGTACTATGAACCGTAAAAGGTTAACCATCTGAGCTAATATTAGATGAGTTTGGGGGAGTGAACAGGACACTGGGTCAAGCCCTGGCCATAGGGGATGAATGCCTCAAGAAGGGTGACACTTTCATTCCCTACACCTGTCTCCTTGTAGACAAGATGTTGATGAGAATGCAGACCCATCAGGACCGCACAGGTTTAAGCCAAGCACAGTAAAGCATACAGCACTATGCACATGTAGCTCTGACTATTCCGCTTCCACACCTGTTAAGGGTCAAGGCCCTCAGAAATCAAAGGAAGATTTATGAAGTCAGATTTACCAGTTCTTCATTTTCAAACTCCAGGTTATACTGTGCTGCTTCTTCTGTCACTGGTTTCTGAACGATGTTTCTGCAGATGAGCCAGATGGCCAGACTAGCGATGAACATCCCAATATCAGGCACAAACACTCTGATCCCATTGCCAGCGTCAGCTCCCTTTAAGCTGTGGAAGGAAAGAAAAAGAGGAGGAAATTTAGTTGCTTTTATATTTCCATGGTTAAATTAGCATAAAGTATGTTTGAATCTTCTTAATGATTTAAAACAAAGGATACCCAGTTTCTGCTCCAAAGGTACCAAAAAGCTTTTCATTGACCTCAGAGTCTTACGTAATCTAAAATTTAGAAAGGTACCACGGTTTCTCTGGAGTTCTGGAAATATTATAAAGACCCCTAAATCAATGCTCACTCTCAAAACAAGCTAATAAACTATATTATTAAATAAACAACATGTCTGGTCCAGATATAGGTGCTTGCACTCTAGGTGAAGCAGTTAAAAACTAGGCATGTACTAGTGGCTAAGAGAGCTTTTACTTTAGACATACATCAAAGCCAGAAGGGAAAAAAGTAGAGAAAATGCTAATATAATCCTTGAATTCAGGAATCTCTTCATTATTTGTAATACTTAGTTGATTTTTTTTCCCATATTATTCCAAGAAAGGTAAATCTAGTATGTTTTTTTCTTTTAGTCTTGAGAATTAACAATGAACTTCAAATTAGAAATTTGGGTTCAAGTGTCAGTATGACATCGACTAGCTGCATTCCACTGGAGGATTTCTCAGAGTCATATGTTCTTCCTCTGTGCCAAAAAGATAACATTATTTGCCTTCTTTATCTCATTTGAGTCCAATGAAAGTGAATCAATGTTATCAGAAATAAAACTTGTTTAGAGACAGGAAGCAAAAGATAGGAATATATATCATGTAAATATATATGTTTTTTCATATACTCTTTATGTAATTAAATACATACTGTGTTAAAGTCATGTTCATTTACATTGCATATATTATACTAGAGACCCGGTGCATGGATTTGTGCACTGGTGGGGTCCCTCAGCCTGGCCTGTGCCCTCTCACAATCCGGGACCCTCAGGGGGTGTCGGACTGCTGGTTTCTGCCCGATCCATGTAGGCCAGGCTGAGGGACCCCATCGGTGCATGAATTCATGCACTGGGCCTCTAGTTTGCATATAAGATCTTTGGTTAATCTCTTCCCACCTTCCCCCCTGCCCCCTTTCCTCTGAGATTCATCAAGTCTGTTCCATGTTCCCATGCCTGTGCATTGAGCATCTGCCCCCTGGGGGTCAGTGTGCATCATAGCTACTGGTCAAATGGTTGAATGGTCGCTTAGGCTTTTATATATATTGATATTGTGATAAAAACATAAAATAATAACAAATAGAAAGACCGCCTTCCCACCCCTCACCTAGAAATAACCATTAGTAACATTTTGGTAAATTTAAAAAGTAATCAAATAGCTACCACTATGGAGCAATTGCTTTATGCTAAGAGCTTGACACATATTATTTAATCCAACTAACCACTATATAGAGTTCGGCATTATTATTTAACCTCCTTTAGGTATAAAAAAATTAGGCTTCAAATGGCAAACTAATTCCCCTAATGTCATAGAGATAGAGAGTATTCTAATGTAGGATATTCCAGGGAAAAATCCTCAAACCAATCTAAAAAAAAAAAAAGGTTTGAAAAGGGCATGCCCTGCACAAGCTTTATTTTGACAAATGGCTCTAACCTTTTCTGAACAGAGAAACATGAAAGTAATCAGAGATGCCCTTACCTCCATAAATAAAACAAATATGGTTGTGTCAGAGGTTTTTGTAAAATGCAAATTCCTTTCCTTTGGGACAAGAATAAGAGAGTTTGATTAAGAACACTTCATCTAAACTAAATGTATAATGACATCGATGGTTGATTTTATCAGTGGAAAATGTAGATTCTTTGTATACTTTTAATGTGTACCTAACATGATCAAACAGCACAAATGAGAACTCATTTCATTAGAAGGAAGGAAGGGGGTCAAGGTGGATTTGGTGGAATAGGTTATTATAGCTCTTTCATGGAAAACAAACTGCCCATGGCATTTTATGGAAAGTACCATTTAAGTGAGTTGAGGGGGAAAGCGTTCTTAAAGGAAAGCTAACAAGAACTCCAGCAGTGGCTTCAGCTGATTCCTGCACCACAGCAGAGACATAGGAAGCCAGCGCAGAGCCTTATGCCTGTCCCACCTGTGGACTGCATTAAGCTCCCAATTTGCAAACAGTCCCTTTGAGGCAACAGTCTTAGCTCTGTGCATCTGGGTTCTAAAAGAGACATTTCATAGCCTGCATATATTGAGGGAGTAAATAAAGGCAGTTTGTGAAAGCAATCACTCCACCTGCTGTGAGAAAATTCAGCTATTGGATCCAGGATTGGGCTGAGATCCCAGTTTAGAATGGAACCCTTCAGCGACAGAGGTGCTAACCCAGTGGTCGGCAAACTCATTAGTCAACAGAGCCAAATATCAACAGTACGACGATTGAAATTTCTTTTGAGAGACAAATTTTTTCAACTTAAACTATATAGGTAGGTACATTGTTATTAACTTAATTAGGGTACTCCTAAGCTGGCCTTTGCTAAAAATGTCCTCAG